GAATGCCCTCATCCTCCTTCTCCTCCTCCACGTGCCAATGCTCAAAGCCCTCTTTCACCCACATCAGAGCAAATCAGCAATGCTGCAGGGCTTTAGACATCCCCCATGGTCCTCAACCCCATCCTGAGATCAAGGACGCCCCACGTCCATCTGGCTGAGGAAGGGATTCAGCAGTGTAACTCAACAGGCATTGAGCATGTGGCCAAAAATGCACTCCCACTGTGCAAGGAGGTACCCATGTTCACAGCCATGGGGTCTTGGCTAGAAAAAGCAAGCCAATTTCCAGCAGCGACCATGGGCAGAGTTAACCCATGCGCCTTGGAATAGAGAGCACCAGGAACATGGTGTCCTTGCAGAGAGTTACATCAGGACCTAAGCCCTAAGCGAGGGCGGGGGAGAGGCACATCAGGCTGCAGACACACCTACAGGCAGCCATCCCTGGTGGCGTGAGAGCATCCTCCTGGGATGTCCTGCCCTGCTTCTGGGATGTCCTGTCCCACTTTTGGGATGTTCTGTCCTGCTCCTCAGATGTCCTGCCCTGCTCCTGGGATGTTCTGCCCTGCTCTAAGAAAGTTAAGCAGCTATGAACAACCACACAGCTGTTTGGTCACTCCCCCCCCGCCCCGCAGTGGGATGGGAGAATCAAAAAAAAATTTAAAACTTGTGGGTTGAGATAAAAACAGTTTAATAGGACAGAAAAGGAAGATGATGATGATGATAATAATAATAGAATATAAAAAACAAATTATGCACAGTACAATTTCTCACTACCTGCTGACAGATGCCCATCTAGTTCCTAAGCCACGGCACTCCCCATCCAGCTCCCCCCGGTGTGCATACTGAGCATGACATCACATGGTATGGAATATCCCTTTGGCCGGGTCGGCCAGCTGTCCTGGTTGTGCCCCCCTCTCAGATTCTTGTGCACCTCCTGGGGAAGGCTCATGCCTCCTCACTGGTGGGCCCTGGGAAGCTGAAAAGTCCTTGACTTAGTACAAGCAGTACTTAGCAACAACTAAAACATCAATGTGTTATCAACGTTATTTTCATACTAAATCCAAAACCCAGCACTATACCCGCTACTAGAAAGAAAATTAACTCTATCCCAGCCAAAAGCAGGACACCTGTCCTGCTCTGAGCTGGGCCAGGGAGGGCTGTGACCAGCTCCCCCAGGAACAGAGCCACCCCCAGCCACCCAGCAGCTCTACATGGATCCACCTCAACATAACTCATGACATGGACAGGAGCACATTAAGATGCAAAAGCCAATCCCGTTCTTCAGAGGAGGATGAGAAACTACCCCATGCTCAGCCCCAACTCCGCTGGCTGATGGATGGGTGATTTGCTCTGCTCCATGCCCCCCTCATTTGCTTTTACTTTGATTCTTGGACCGCTGCCTTCCTGACCATCTTCTGCAGATTGTCCCCTGGGAGAGTCCCATTTTCTGCTCCCCTTCTTAGAAGACCCCAACCCTTGCACTGAACCCAAGGAAAGTAGTAGGACAGAGGGTAACCCACCCATGCCCAGGGGACCAGACCATGAGGTTTAATAGTTCCCGTAGAGGCAGTCCTCGTGCCTTAAGTCTAGATCAGATTTTAAAGCTTGTGTTTCTGGCCTCTGGGACATCTGTGTCAGTGAGTTTCTTGCATTCGTGTATGTTACATGGAAAATAGAGATATTGTCCATTTGCAATGGGATGGTCTCATTGCTGTCTCTCAGTCCTGCTGTTACACCATATATTGTTATATCTCTCCACAGCTGCCCCAAGTCCTCCAGGGCATCCATCATCCCCACATCACGTAACTGCCTCAGCATCTCTGATGAATTTTTCACCACCTAACAGCTGTTATCCCTATTTTAAAGAAGGCACACTGAGGAACAGAGAAGTCCCGTCTCCCATCAGTGTGCCAGCAGCACATGGGTCTCTCGCTCCCCTCTGGCAGTGGGACCAGCTCCATGGGGCAGGCTGGGGAGAGCGCTGATCTCTGCACTGTCAATGGCCAGGGGCCAGGGAGGGAGATGCTGTAAAATTCAGGCACTGCCAGGGTAGCCAGGGTTGTATTCAAGGAGCCAGTGCTACCCTGGAGCTGGGAGAACCTGGCTTTCTGGGTTTCTTGTGGAACCAGTGCTGGAGAAGCCATCACAGCCCCATGACACGACGCCAAGGCAGGAGCCCCATCCTGCAACTCCTGTCCATCCCCAGGCGATTCAACAGATGTGCTGTTTGCATTTGGAAAAGGGGGATGGAAAGTAGAAAGCACAATTCCAGCCCTGAAGAGTGCAAAGAAAATCTTAAAAATGAGCCTCATTTTTAAAATAAAAAATAAAATAAACCCAGATACTCTTCCAAAAAAAAACCCAAAACCTGTTCAAAACTTTTTTCCTGATTCCACAGAAAGTGCTCTTAGACATCACGGGGAAAGCAATGCTGAATAAGTATTTAAAAGCCAAAGAAACTCCAGACTCCATAGGTCTACAGGTGCAAGTCCTTCACATACCTTGATTACCCCACATGTCTATCCTTCCCGGGACAGAAACACCTGAGCCCTTCACCAGCAGGTGCCTGCACAAGGAGGGGGCAGGAGGAGGGAGCCCAGCTCTACTTGCTATAAAAGGCCCAAGAGGGAGTCAAACAGGATGTGCTCTTGGTGAGGTGGTTGTGATTGTGGTGAGGAGCAGCTGCTTGGGTGGTTCAGAGCCATGGTGAGTAGTTGTGGAGCTTGGGTTTGCTCTCTGATAGCTGGGGCTGGTCCTTTCCCAGCTCTGCAGTGGGGTGGAGCTGGGGGTAGCTTTTCTTTCTGGCTGGGGGAAGGCGTATTGCCCTTGGCTGTGGGTTTTCTTGGGGGTGAAGGTGGTTGTGGGTTATGGAGGAGCATGTGAGCCCTGGAGAAGGGGCTCCTGGGGGTGCAGAGCTTCTGCCTGAGAGCTGGTCTCCAGAGCTGGGTTGGCCTTGTAAGTCTGGTATCCACCTTTTCCTGGCCTGGGGATGACTACCCTGCTGAAATGCCTTCAGACCTTGCCTGTCCTCCTGCACGAAGGTACTTTGAAGGTCTTGCTGGTGGTGTCTGATTGAGGACTCAGCTAGGTGCCCATCTGGTGTTGCTGTGGGGCTGAGGCAGACCTGGATCAGGGGATGAAGGTCTTTCCTTGTGATGACTGACTCAGCATCCCTGTTCTGGCCCTGGTGTGGGGGACTGTTAAGGCTGTCCTGGGACTGTGTTGGAGGTGAAATGCAGTGGTGTCTGGGGGCTGATACATTAGATGCCAACCTTCGGGGCAGGACCCTCTCCTGCAGTGTAGGATGTTGCTGCCCTGTTTCTGTGCTCAGTAGGAGTCCTGCTGTGCCAGACTTCTTGTACAAAGGTAATCTGGATGTTGCTGTGTTGGGTCTCCAGCCCAGTGACCTGCCCAGGCCACAGATAAAAGCAGGTAGTGAGGGCAGACTAAGCCTTGGGTAAGCCCATCTGAGACTTTCCTATCTTGTACCTCAGGGCTTCCTAAAATTGATGTGTGTGTGCTTTTCTTCTTTAGTAAGCTGCAGCAGGAGTCTCTGAACCCAAAAGCCTGGCTTTCACAGCCTCCTGTGTCAAGGAGTTGAACAGCTCAACCACACTTTCTGCACTGGGACTCTTCCCTTAGTCCAAGCCAGGAGCAGTTGCTTCATGAGGCAACTGCTAGTCTTGCATGGAGAAGATGAAGAATTAGTTCCTACCCAGCCTGGCTTGGATCCGCTTTAGCTGTCTCCAGCCAGCTGATCCTGCATGACTGTATCTAGTCTAAATGGAATAAGAAACTGCTCTGACAGTTGATGCTTGAAGCCCAACAGGACAGGCTTCTCCCATCAGAGAGACAGAGGTCCTCCACTGCTGCCCATCTGGCTGGGGAGAGGTTTGCCTCTACCTCCCTGGGAGGGGCATGGTGGGGAGTGTTGTCTAAGGCTGGCTGGGCTGAATCACTCCCTCCTCTCCAGGTGAAGTACCTGTGAAAGCTGTCTGTGCCCTGTCTTCTGCCCCGAGGCAGGATCAGCAGAGCAAAGAGAAGAAACCATGAGCAGTTTG